GCTTCATCTGCTTTTTTGAAACCAATTATTGCACTCAGCAGCTGCTCAAAGGCACCATATTCCTTATTGACCTGGTTCCATTTGCTCTATACTGAGGTTCTAGGAAAACATAATAGATTCTGCAAGCCTAAAGTCTGTTCTCCCCTGAACCTCACACTATTTCTGACATTCCTCACTATGTGTCATCTGTTCTGAAATACACGGTGCTCTTTGACTTTCTAAGTGTGTCATTTTGGTTTAAATATTCTATTTATATATTTTAGAAGTTTGACCAGTTTTAGGCACTGATTCCTGAAGAACTGACCTCAAAAGGTGTTTCATAAAAATGTGAATAAGTACACCAAGGACTTTTTAAAGTTCAAATATCTGATTCATTGAAAACCCTCCGAGGAAATTCAGACCTCAATAGCCACTTAGGAAATTAGAAGTATTTCTGAGGAATGCCAGAGGGATAGAGAGAATGAGTGAGTTGTGGAGGAGTTGGGGATGTCATAAAAATAGTTATTAAACCAATTACCCTGCTCTCCTAAAAGTGTTACCATGTGGGAGTTGAATTTCAGTAGCAATCTCAGTAGGCTAGGTAGAAAGACACAAGCTGCCATTGAATTAGATAGTGTTCTATATCCTACCATTCCACTTCTAACTTTTTGAGCTGGAAACATTGAGTGGGCAGATACTACCCATCTAAATGTTTTGGACTCCATTTCTCATCAGAGCCAGCCAACATCTCCAGTGATGATGACAATTGCAGGTCAACAACACCTAGAAAGCGCAGGTTGTGGAAGGCCAGTCTATTGGATGAGAGAGCCTATTCCTAACAGGAAGTAACAATACAGTTCTATGCACACTCTACCTGGGAGTAAGTCCCATTAAATTCAGTGAGGCTTATTTCTGATTAGAGATGCATAGGATTACTTCATGGATGCGGAAATCAAGCTTTTGAGTAAAACTTATCCTTAGCTTTAAATGGAAAGGAAAAACAACCCAAACCTAATCATAAGGTGATATTTTTTTCAAGACAAAGGGGAGAAGTGATTACCAGATTCTATAAGCCACTTTTCATATTCCAAAGAAGTTACTCATGTGTCTTTCCCCCTTCATTTCTGGGTCCCATAGAAAGCAGAATATGCATATTTTTCCAGTGCAGGGACAAAATATTTGTCTCTCCAGAAGGGACCATTGAAAAGTGGGGGGCAACCAAAAGTGGAGGAGAGGAGGTGCAAATTGCTCATACTTACTCCTTGTTTCTTCTATGGATTCTACAAAGAAGCTGCATGTTTATTTGATCAAGCACGTGCTGAAGAAAAGGATTTGAGTTACAAAAGGCCCTCCAGAGTCAATGCTATAAATGAGATATATATGTTTCCTTTAGGAATATAACCATCAAAAGCCAACTCATTTGTAAGTACCTGGAGGGAAATGGAATGATTGATAGCAGTCAGTATAGCTTTATAAAGACAAATCATGCCAGACCAAACTAGTTTCCTTTTTTCTTGATAGTGTTAACATGCATGCTTAACCAGAGGAATGCAATTGGATTCTGGCAAGTTGTTTGACTAGTCTCACAGCTCAGTATAAAAACTCAGTGATTATGGAATAGAAGTAGGCTCCCTAAGGTTGTTTAAGCCATTGCCTGGGCAATCTTATGTAAAAAAGGGGGGGCGGTATTGTAGAGTTTACAAATCAGATTCTTTTTCTTCCCTTGAAGATTTTCAATCAAAAGTTGAGTAAAGTGTGTTTGATACTTGGTGAGGCTAGACCACCAGTGGATGATTTGGAATTGAGAAATGGCTGGGAAAGGGTCAAGCTCCCCTTCCTGCTATCTTAATTAGTCTTAATTAGACATAATATTTTATTTTATTTAAAAAATGGCATTAGGAGGACCAAAAGAAGCAGCTTTATACAGAGTCAGACCAGTATTGTCCCAGTACCATCTAGACCGATATTGTCCACACTGACTGACAGCAGCTCCCCAGGGTGTCAGCAGGATGTCATTCCCCAGCCCTAACTGGAGATGTCGGAATTTGAACCTGGTACCTTTTGCACGCAATGCAGAGGCTCTACCACTGAGCTGTGGTAATAGAGGAGTGAAATTGCTTTCAATTATTGCAAGGTGGCCTGCTTTCAATTATTGCAAGGTGGCCATTCAGATGTTCCAAATAGGACAGTAGCAACAAGTTTACGTTGCTATTGGATTTTCTATAAAAAGGGTATGTTCAAATGAAATGTGGGAAAATACAGGCTGGCATGTATGAGCAGCATCAATCCCACAACAAACAATTGCCTGGAATCACCCTCTGTTATATACACTTGACTATAACATTACCTCTTAGCTGTTTAATTAAAAAAGAAGAAGTAATGAAGTACCAGGTCAGCCTCCCTTTTGAGAGCGTTCCACAAATGGAGAGGCTCCGCAGAAAAGGTGTGCTTTTGTGTTACCACCCTCCTGACCTCTAGTGGACTAGGCACACAAATAAGAGCCTCGGATGAGAATTGCAGGGTTTGGTTCAGTTCATACAGGGAGTTAGGAATGTTTATCAGTGTAATTGGCTCTAGTTATGCCCATTGGAGTGGCAGAGAATCAGTCTGCTCCATCTTCTGGCCTTCAGGTATTTGAAGACTGCTAACATGTCTCTCCACCCCACCCCCCGCCTCAATAGTCTCTTCTCCTTGCTAAATGTACCCCATTCTTCCAGCAGTTCATCACCTTGACTTGGTTTCCAAACTCCATCCTTTTTGCCCTCTTCTATATATGCTCCAGTTGGGCAATGTTATTCTTAATATGGGGTGCCTAGAAATAGACATGGTGATCCATGTGTAGTCTGACTACAGCAGAAGAGTGTGGAACTATTGCTTCTCATGATCCGGAAGCCATGCTCCTGTTTATGCAGGCTAAAGCTGCATTTTTATTTTTTATTGTAACTGCTGTTTTACATTGTTGGCTCAATTTCAGCTTATAATCAGTGAAGACACCTTTGTAGCCCTGGTTTCCTCCACCCAATAGTGAATTGCCAGAAATAGCCTGTGTTTAGGACAATGATTCTTGGTTCGATTGCTAAGAGATATGTAGGCCAACCCTCAAAACCACAGGTTAGTATTCAAAGCGATGCTTTCTTATTCTTGCATCCTGCTGTTAAAAAAAAAAAATGCATTGCATTAATAAGGTAGTGGTTATTTTTTTATATACAGTTATAATATTATAAATTAATGTGTGTGTGTAGATAGTTATCGACCCTGAGCCTTTGGGAATAGGATGGGTTTTTTTAAAAAAATATCTCAAGAACTCATACAGAAATGCAAAAAAGGGTGCTCTGCCTTAGAGTTCTTGTTTGTTTGTTTGTTTGTTTGGTTGGTTGGTTTTTACATGATGAATCCCTGGGTATAAGAAATGAAGGTCAAATTCATTTAATTGATTTTTAGTGGTTATATCCAGACTTAGGCCTTGTCAGTACTTCTGCTTGTCTCATACCAAGAAAGCATGGGTCCAAGCCATTTTCTGTTTGTCACATGTTTTCTAGGCATGGGTCTGAGCCCTGCCTCTTTCCCCCGGAAAACCCTCTCTTTAGTACTAAATCAGAACAAATTGTGGAAAACTTGATTTCTGTTGGTTCTAATTCAGTGCTAAACCATGATGAATGATGGTTTAGCAGGGAGCATATGGGATGGTTTTCCCAGGGAGCAAATGGATGTGTGGAAGAGCTTAGTTTTGTTTAGAGTGGGTGACCTGAAATCAGTGAATCTAAAGTTAGACATTAACTTATCCTGTTGATTTCAGTGGGTCTACTCTAAGCATGACAGTGTCTAGCCCTAATTATTCTGAAGGCAACTGAACCTCAGTCTAAAACTTGTGTTTCCAAACTACTCCATTTTCTGTCCATAAAGAACCCCATTTCTCATTAAATTTTCCAAAGGTCTCTTTCCTTTTCGTCTTACATATCATTAAGAAGAATCGACTCTGCTTAGTGGATTAGCCAAGGGAACATGTATTCCATCTTCTTCATCTACTCTCATTAGCAGAGTGAGAAACTCAGGTTTTTTTAGTCTCCCTCCACTATAAATGCAGACTGAGGAAATTTCACTTACAACTTCTCATATCTCACAATCAATCAAATGATTGTGTGTTATTTTATTTCCCCACCCCCATCCCTGATGCATGGCAAGGGAGACACTTCACTTGATGTTAGCATGAGAAAAAGTTGATGTGTAAACAGATTTCCTATTGGTGTATTTTGAAGAATTAAAAATCAATATTCTATTTCTGATAGAATTGAAAGGTATGGGCGTGTCACTCTGCACCACACAGAGTGGTTCTGAGGTTAAAGGAAATCACACTCTCTGTAAAGGAACAAACAGCAAAAAATGACCATATGGACAAATAATGTCTTCTGCAGTCCACAAACGGCTAATAGTTCTCCTTTAAGGAGACATAGCTGTTGTCAATAGCATGGGTGTGATGTCTGGAGGTAAGCATCATATTCTCAGATTTAGTTCCCAAAAATTAGTCCTAAATCTTCATGCACTTGAGTAAAAAAATGTACTAATAATGGAAATGATGCACATCCAAGATGAGGCAAAATGCACACATAATAGGTTTTTATGTGTTTGCCTGGAATCACGAAAAGTATAGATCTTTCCAATGCAGGCTACTGGGTAATGAAGAAATATGTGTATACCAGCATATTCAGTAATCTAATGAATTTAGCATTCTTTTGGAAAATATTATATGCGTCACATTAAGGCAGGGTTGGCCAACCTGGAGCCTCTCGGGTGTTGCTGAATTACAAATCCTGTCACCCTTAACTGGTGGCCAGGCTAACTGGGTCTAATGGGAGTTGTAGTCCAACAACGTTTGGATGACACCACACTGGCCACTCCTGATGTAAGGGGTTCCCAGAGGCCATCCATCCACATTCTTATCAGGTCCATACCTCCTTAGGTTCAGCCATTCCATAGAATCAGGTGTTCTCAAAGCATCTATAGGGCCCCATAAAGCATGGCTCTAGATAGCTCAGTTGGTTAGGGCATGGTGCTGATAATGCCAATGTTTCAGGTTTGATCCCCGTATGGGACAACTGCATATTCCTGCACTGCAGGAGGTTGGACTAGATGATCCTCAGGGTCCCTTCCAACTCTACAATTCTATGATTCTACTTCTCTGATTCTATTTTTTGAAGCTGGAAATTAACAATGTTCTTTAATGAAACGGGGGAAGAAATTCTTTAATCTGACTGGCACTAGTATCTTTTCAGTACGTAATTAATGTTCAACATCACTGCTGGGACATATGTCATGGTGCCCATGGCCATGATATTTAGTGATTTGATAAAAGCTCTTCTCTGACCCTGCCTTAGATATTGATGCCATGGTAATGCCCTGACATCTTTAATAAAAAAAGGAAAGTGTCAGAAATAGGTTAGTGCTTGAAATTCAGTCAACTGAAGCTTTCAACACAAGGCAGCGATTCTCCCTTTCATCAGTACTGTGGGAGGCCTGAGAGTGTGGTCCCTGCCTGCTGAAAAACCTGAATCATACACTTTTCAGCCGTGTCCCCAGTGAGCTGCGGTCAAAGGAAGTCAAGGAGCATTTTGGCGAAGTGCCGTGAGGGTCAGCGGTGGGGCAGATCTTCGCACAGAAGCTATCTCTCAAAGGGGGCGAAAGTTCAGGTGAAAAATGCTCATTACCCTTGTGAATTCCAATAGGGCGTTTTGATTCATCGTGCTTCTGCAGATAAGGCAATAAACGGACCTTGGCAACTGCTGCCACTTTCTTGCTGGATTGTTTCACTCTGCACCGGGACCTCCAGAAATGCGAGCCCCCGAAAGAGAGTAGTCATTCATCATGCATGAAAGAATGATCTATTGCTTGGTTTTAAAAGCTTATTGAAGACAATGGGAGGCTTTTTATTGCCTTTAACTCTTTCTGGTTTCCTAGGCTTAGGTTACTCTCTAATTGTCAAATGCCTGGAGGGCCAATTTCTTTTGTTGGAGTAATTTAAGATAAAAATCCAGTACTACTTGGCTGTAAAAGAGCAAATGGGATCCCCACTAACTGGCAGCACTGGGTTGTGCGTGGAAACCATTTGCAGAGGGGCATTTCTGGATGGACCACAGCCCAACAGATTCAGCAACAGGTGTTGCAGGAGAGCTCTAGGTGCATCACTCTCCTTTCCTACTTTATTATAGCAGGTGAATAATTTCACTAGTGCGGCGTGGGGCATGCGGATTACATTTTAACAAGATCCCTTTGAGCAACTCTTTCCTACTCATATTTCTTCAGACAAGAAATTTCTTGGAGCAAATCGTTCTTCTGGTATTGTCAGCCTGTGACTAATTGCTCTGACTTTTGGCTTTTTCGATGTGGTTTCTTTCAGGGAATACTGGTGAGCTGTGGCCAGCGGCAGCTGTTAATTAGGACCAGGCGAGGAAGTGTTGTTGTTTATCTTGCGAGAAACAGTTTACAAACCGTTAACAATGGTTTTTAAAATACACCTTTATCCTTCGAGTTGCACAGAAATCATAAAACCAATAAAAACAATGAAGAAACAAGCAAAAAACAAACAAAAACAAAAAACAAGCCACTAGGAATAAAAGGTGATAGGATGGAATAGAAAGGGTGGTGGCGATGAGATGGAAAGCCATATCGTGTATATGTATTGATGTGTGAAATTATATTGTGAGGAGAAACACATTAAATTTAAGCATTTATTTAGTTCCTAATGGAACACAGGCCACATCTGCACCTTATACTGAAAGCCGTATTATTCCACTTCAAATAGTCATGGTTTCTTCCAAAGAATTCTGGGAACTGTAGCTTGTTCAGGGTGCTGAGTTAGGACACCCCTATTCCTCTCACAGAGCTGCAGTTTCCAGAGTCGTTTATCTGTCAGTCCTGGATTCTTCCCAGGAACCTGCATCTGAGGTGTCCAAAGGCCCAGGGTGTGTCTTCAGCATATGACAAAAGCTGTACAATGAAGGAACCAGATGCATCTCTGTGGGGTGGAAAATCCATATCTGTAGTGGTTCTAGGGGTTGCTCGTGCGTAAGCCGGTGCAAACACCTGGCTGGGTTGCCTGAGTGAACCTTTTCTGTCCGGACAGCCACTCACCCGTGGCTGTCTCAATCGCTGGCAGAATCCGTCAGTGGGCGTTTCTTAAACTTCTTCCAGCAAAGAAGCTCTTTGACGCCTAGTCTCCTCCTACTCTCTCTGCGCGAAAGCCTTCTGCGCAAGGAGGGCGTAGGCAGCGGAGGACCTCTACTCTCCCCGCTGGTCCCCGGCAGGAGTCATGGGACCGCCTCGCCGCTTCCCCCATCTGCCCCCCTTCTCCACTGGTGCTACGCTGATTCTCTTCCCCAGAAGATGGGCTGCCTCTCCCAATCCCAGGACGCTCTCTGGAATCCCTCTGGATTTTGCTCTCTCCCTCCGGCACTGATGGCAGTTCCCTGACAATATCCTTAGGGGTTTGCCACAGAGGAATACCCTCTCCTGGATTAATACCCTCCCAAACTTCTGAGGGTGGTGGAACTACCAAAGGAGTCCCCTCTGTGGATCTCTGGGGAGAGAAAGTGCTCTTTCTTTTGGGGGCATACATTGATAGAGGAACATGACTGAGGAGGTGTGGCTTCACTTTTCCTCTCGCACAACTGGGATCACACAAGGGTGAACACCCGCGCAGGTCTTTTCGGTCTTCAGAAACTGCACGTTGCCTTATTGGGTCCTTATACCAGCCCCTTGTGCTATTCTTAGCTATACAGATTTCTCTTGTTGACTGAGGAGAGTGTGTCAACATGTTAGGTGCATAATCTATCTCACCTGTCACTTGGTAAAGTGGCAATAATCACTTCAGTGTTAGTTCTCCTCTGGTGTTTGCACTCACTTGGTCATTAAGCATTCATGCCATTTTGTTAGGGTGCCTAAGTGATGAGAAAGCTTAACTACCCAAAAATGTAGGCTAGGGTGAAGGCAAGGGGTGTGCAGGTTCTTGAAAAGGGCAGGATGGGTCAACATCTAGACCAACCATCCTTGAAAATATATTAATTAGCCATTAGCAGTCTTCATTGGGAAGTTTGCAACACCTATTATGTAAATAGGGTTTTAATAGCATTCTTACGTGATAAAAATGGAAACCAAGTCAACAGTGTCAATTGCAGCTAAGCCATGTGTGACAGTATATTAAAATGTTTGATTGCATTTCTATGACACTTTTCATTCTAATGAATCTCAAAGCAGCTTACAAACAATAAATAGCAAAAACATAATAAAGTGTAATAGAACATTTACAATCATTTAAAATAATTGATAAATCATAAATAAAACTATTGTAATCTATAAAACACTTAACAAAACAGCAACTAAAAATAGGCTAAACATCACAATTACAGCAAAAGTCATATTATTTGATTAACAAATCAATACTGCATGTATAATCTATAAAGCAATAGTATACAATACAAATACCTTTATTGGCATTACAAGTTAAGACATTTCAAATCACTGGGATAAGTTTAAAAGGGACAAGAGTGAGGCTGTCGAGGGTCACAAGGCACTCAATTGTTCTGCTCCACCCTGCCTGTTCCCTAGAGGGATGATTCATTAAGAACCCTTTTGGGTAAGATGAAGATTAAAAAAGAAGCCACCAAGGCAGTAACGTCCTTGTCCCTCTCCGCTAGGAGGAACCGTATTTGGGTTTCTCTCGGAGCCATGGGTTGCATGTTGCTTAGCATCTGTTTGCAGAGTCTGCTGTGCAAAGGGCAGTCCAAGAGAACATGGTCCAGTGAGTCTGGTACTTCCTGATTGCAGGCACACAGGTGGGCTTGATAAGGAATTTGCGAATATCTACCTGTGGCCACTATGGAGGGGAAAGCATTTAGTCTTGTGACCATAAAAGCTCTTTGTTGGGAAGGAAGTAGTAGGTCTTTTAGGTAATTGGCACAAAATCCTTAAGAAGTAGTTATGCCTAAGGCCTCTGGAGAACACGGTCTCGGAGTGTGAGGAGACAAACACTGTTTTTCATGGTCATAAAGCCACTGCTTATAAAGCAATACAGTGGTACTTCTGGTTACGTACTTAATTCATTCCAGAGGTCCATTCTTAACCTGAAACTGTTCTTAACCTGAGGTACCACTTTAGCTAATGGGGCCTCCCGCTGCTGCTGCGCCGCCGCCGCACGATTTCTGTTCTCATCCTGAAGCAAAGTTCTTAACCCAAGGTACTATTTCTGGATTAGCGGAGTCTGTAACCTGAAGCGTATGTAACCCGAGGTACCACTGTATTAACATTAACAGAATAGCAACTAAGGAGTGCCCCATTTTGGCACAGATGTTCCCCCATGTGTATTAATGTGTTATACAATCACACATTTTGGTTGAGATGACAAGACTGCTTTCAGCTCTTTTCTGAAACTTTTCCCTAAATACCAACAAATCAGTACACTGTCAGCACAATGCTATGCACATTTACTCAGAAGTGAGCCATATTCTGTCCAAAGGGACTTAACTCACTGATAGCTCTCTTAAGTATTCAGAATTGCACACCTATGTTAGTTTGAGGATTAAAATTGCATAAATAGAAGTTTTGAAAAATAATAATAGCAGATTTGAATTCCTCACTCCCCCCCCCAAAAATTGAAGACTCCTCACTGAAGAAATTTGCCAAAATTAATTTTCACCCCCTAAAATGATACACCCTAGCAGGATATACATTCCATAAAAGCTGAAATTAAATATGCAGATGCAGCATTACAGCAGTGAAATCAAGGATATATTGGACTCTGAGCAAAAAAATGCAGAAAAGAAAATGGGTCTTGGATTATAATGAATCATTAAGGAGTACAGAAAGAATGGAATAGCAAATAGGAACTGGTTGAAATCTGAATCTGGCAATGGACTTTTAAAAAAGACACCGGCTGCTTTGGGCCTGCGGAAATAGAACTGGAAAACATCCATCCTGTCCTGCGTGTAAAGCAGCTGTAATATCAGATCCAAAAGCCCAGGTGTTGTGCCACCCTCACTCCTGGTCCTTCATTACTAATTTCCCTTTCATTTAATGACTGTTACAGCCTGGGTTATGGACATCA